AAACCACTTAATAAGTCCCTTGTCAACCTTTTCATGTGCAGATAATTTTAACTTCCTACATCTAACATTTGTTTTGTCATACGCTGATAAAAGGTTTTCTCTGTTTTTCCCTATTGTTGCAACAGTAGACTTTCCAAGTGCTAATTCCTTACAAATGTCACTCTGCTTTACTCCACTTTTCATTTTGTTAATAATCTCGTACTTTTCATTTAGTGAAAAAGCTTTGCGTTTTTGTTTTTCCATTCTAAAACGATTTACATACATAACGCGGCAAAAAACAACAAGTCACTGTCTCTCGCTCTCACTAATATAAACAACTCCGCACAATTGGTGTTGCTGAGCGTAGAAGTTCGTTATAAACGGAAAGTGAATAGACAACTAACCTAAAAAGTGATCGTTATATCCGGAAGTTCGTTATAACCAGTAAAAAAATTCGTTGGTCTTTATGGACGACGTTTCAATTAAAGGAAAAAAGTTCGTTTTAACCGAAAGTTCACTATAACCGGATTCATTATAAGCGGACTTTACTGTAGTTAAAGACAATCTAATATATGTGAGAACCGGAACAGTAGCGTTTGAACCCAGGGCGTCAGACGTAGGCCTATGTAACTCAATGAATTTTGTCTTATTAATCTTAGTGCAACTCAACACTGTGTTACCCAGGCCTAGTCAGACGGAGTTGTTTTTGACCAAAATCGTCCAAATTAAGAAACGAATTGCCTGCTTGATGTGCGCATTTTATAAAGAAACCATCCCCACATATAAACTTTGTGAACTTACTCAAATTTACTCATTCTTTAAAACCGTTGTCACTCAATCACTCACTAACATCAAATAGTGACAGTGCCAAGAATTTTCTTATGTCACACAAACGTCTTACAAGGCTGCTGGCTGAAGTATTCCTGGTTGCATAGCCACTACAACTCAAACTAGGAAAAACTGCAGGAATGAAAACACACATTTTATGAACGCCTCAGGAGACTGAAATATGGAATAAACACCTGCTCAGACGCCCCTGAAGCAGTCGTTTGGACACCTGGTACCCGCATCCTATTGATGTTTGAACAGGCTAAAATGCCGGGGTCAACGCTTCCCTGTCAGTCAAACAGCTTATAAGGTCGCGTTTCGCAAACAACTCTCAACAATTTACATGCAGAAACAAAAACGATTTAACTCTGAATATGTAGGATGTGTTCGACGATTAGTGCCACTAGTGGGAAATTGAGAGTCTAGGCCCGCTGTGCACACAGAGAGAGAGTTTACGCGAATGTAGTTATTGAGGTTATGTTTGTGTATTGTTTTTGTGTCCAAATCCCCTTTTATACTAGATAGAGTCTCGCCAAAGGCTAGTTTCTATAACCATGAAGAACTTGAAGAGAAAGCGGAAGGAAGCGTGTCCTTCGCCGATTCTGGATGACAGCCCCAAGAGGTAAGAATGAGTTAGAGTTAGAAGCCCCCATTGTCTGGGTTGCTTGCGGGGGCAGGCATTAAGCAAATGTACTGAAGCAATAGCGTTAAGCACGACGCAGAAAACTGTGTGCACGTTTGCATCAATGAAGAAGTGCTGCTGTGTGGAACTGTGCTGTTTTTATGGGAAACAGCACAGTTTCTGCATCAGTGCTTGATGAAGCCTTTTTCACAGTTTGGGGCAAATGACGTGGTTTGGACTATATTTTCTTGCAGAAATAACTGCAGTCTTCATCAATAGCATCTACCATGAGAATTACACATCTCACACTCAAACCAATCTATATACATTTAGGGCCTTTCCAGGTTCCTAGTATCAAGACAAACATTTTTGCTTAATGTATGGCGTCCAAACAAAGTAGGTATTCGTGAAATAGTTACAGGCTGTTGAAGTTTGTAAAAAGACGTTTTTTGTTAATACATGAAAACACTACCCGATTTTAGCCCATGCCAACTAAACTTGGCACCTTTTTTCTTAATTAAGTACAATTGTTGCTCAAGATTGGTTATTATTGCTTTTAGAATAAAGGACACTAAAGTTCTATATGCACCTATAAGGAATGAAGAAATCTAACTGTTTTTAGACTCGTCACTTTCTCTATTCGGCTCACTTCTGAGATAATGCCCACATTTGAGAATTATCACTCTGTAAAAGCAAATTGGCAGTGAAATGCACCAATGACACGCAAAATTAAGCAAATCAAATGGCCGAAAAACTGTTAACAATGGCATTTGCTTTGCAATAAAAAGAACAAAGTTATTGGATTATAATGTAGAATTATGCGACTCGCCGTTTCGTTAATAGTTTTAAATTTATTATGAAGTAGATTATGAAGTTAATAGAGGAATTGCCCATAATAAAATCGATAAATCCGGATGTGGCACAATAATCGAGCTTTTCTCTTAAAAAAACTTAAATTTTCATCAGTAATTTTGCTGTATGGGATATGTTAGGAACCAATTGAACTACAGAACTGAGCTTTTGAGCGCACATTGCCACCATTTTTACGCTACTTTTTCGCATTCAAATCGAATTTAATGGTGGAGGTTTCAAGATATTGCATGGTTTTTTCCTTCAAAAGTTAACAATAGATATAATTTGTACTTAAACAGAACATTCGGGAAATGATCGATCCGATAGATACTTCGATGCCATGGACCGCCCTGATTTATCGCCACTTAATTATTTCTTAAGGTGCATGTAGATAAGACTAGCCGAATCAATGTACAAATTGGATGATAAAAGCCCGGGACGAGTTTATCACCAATATTTCCTTTTCCTATGACGCTTTAAATTTGTTTTTTTTTTTCAATGACGCCCATTCTGACTCAAAATCGGTTGCCTTGAAGTATCTCACGGTAAAAAAACCAGATGGATTGAGCCCAATTTTGTCCACAGAACGAAAGTTCAAGCGCAACGAAAATTTGCTCAGAACTCTGGACTACACAGTCCGATCATCAGTCCGATCCGCGACCTAGAAGCGGACGATCTTCCTGATACCAGCGCATCCCCCGAACCTGTGGAACTGCTGCCAATGAAGCGGCCCAATACCGAAGATTTCTTGACGTTCTTATGCTTCCGAGGAACCCCGATCTTATCGCCCTCCTTACAGTTCTTCAACACCGCTTCGATTGTGGCCGACGGTCAAGTGCACGAAATCAAAAGCGAGTCGCCGAAGAATGGGCCGATTGATATAGCAAAATGTGCAGGAAATTCGGAAAAACCGTTCATAGCATTCGGGGTAAGAAAGCGGGCGGATCCGATTGTGATTAGCAGACAAATGGAGAAGAAGAGAAGACACGCCCTGGCAATACAGGTAAGGATCCCTCAACATCATTCGTATGAGGTTTAATGTTGAAAAAACCGCATTATTTGCAGGCTTTGCGAAGAAAGTACCAGGAACAGAAAATGGCAAAAATCCGGGCCTTAACAATCAGCAAACTGAGCGAGAAAACCACCAACAAAACTCTGGTGAAAACCAACACGTTCCAGAAAACGGAAACAGTTACCAGGAAAACTAACACGCTGCAGAAAACGAAAGTGATTGCAACTAAACATGTGAAAGTCACCACCCAAACGCTGAACACGAAAGTGAAGCCGAAAATGTGTTTGAGGAGCTTCAGAGGCAAGTTTGTTCAAAAAGAGTTGCCCTTCCGGCAGCGAAAACTCTTGGCGGAGCGAGACTCTATCTCGCAACGACCAGTTGATATAAAAAAGGTGCTTAGAACGAGTAGGAACAGCAATAAGGGCTGTTCGACTGAAACCAGGCCACAAGCAACAACCGTTAAAAAGCTACCAGACCCAAAGCGAACTGGAGCCAGCGCTCAAATACCCAAACCGGAATTAAGCCCATCAGTTAGAGCTCCAATCGTATTTACGTCTTCAATAAAACGCACGCAAATGAAACGACGCATTTCACTGCCGTGCACAATAGTGAGCACCATCATACGGCCAAGGTTGAGGTCGACAACTGTAAAAAAATCCGTAATTTCGAGGAAAAAGGCCCAACAACGAACCAGGACTAGCTTCAACAAAAGCAGCCGCCAAGACAAATCGATTGAGATTGCCAAGGAAAATACGTCTAAAAAACCCACCCACGAGAAAGTGGCCACCAAAAAAACGCCCCTGAATGGAACAGAAGCTACTGATTCACCACAATCGCCCAAAGCACCGGAAGTCTCAAAAAGAGTCACCAGAAGAGATTTCGATCTAGGCAAAAGTGACGTCCGAAAGGAAGTGGCGAAGAATTTCGAAATGACTAAGCAGGTGAAGATCGACCAATTGGGGACAAAAAAAATGGTGAGTATCCGCATATTTTATCCAAATCTAACATATAACACGAGTATTTTTGTCTAATAGGTGAAGAAGAATCTGACGATGAAGAGGGACTTTAGCCTGAAGACCCAAACCAAAGACGTGAAGAAAAGGGTGGCTGTTCAAAAGACCGTTGACACTGTCTCGGAACGCAATGAGCTCGGCCAGAAAATCACGCGCGATGTTAAAACAGTGGAAACCACTATGGAAAAAGTGGTAACACGCAGATCAGAAGAGGCCAGAATTAGCAAAAGTCCTGCGCAAGAAGAAACAACCGTAAAAGAAAATGTACAAACTCCGAAGGAAGAAACTTCCAAAAGAAGATCGAGGAGCTCCATCAGTCAATCTGTTGATCTGCCTCCTGATGGAAAATCCCCAAAAACTCCCAGTACCGATGACGATATTGGCTTTGCTGGATTCAGCAGAACCTGCAAATCTTCGAACTTAAGCCCCATCCTGAAACTAGCGAGTTCCAAATTGCCAGAGAAAATCACCAAAGACTTACCATTAAACCAAGCAGTCCAAGACTCAGATAAAGTCCCTGATACTGAAAGTGATAAGGAAAGTTCGCGACGCATTACTAGGGACTATGGCTCCAGACTATCCGAACCAACAGCGAAGCGAAAAAGTCCAAATTCAACTAAAAAGCCACGGCCCGGTCCCTTCGACGTAAAAGTGCTGAAGGACTGTAAGAAAGAGCCGTCTTCCAAGAAATTAGACGACGAGTTTTCCAAGAAAATTCAACACATCATTGACAGTGCTTTAAAGGAAGTCCAGGACTTGAAACATCAACAGTCCAAAGTTTTGGACCAGACCTGTAAATCAGAGCATGACAAAAAAGAGGACAATTTAAAAGCAATTGCGAGTGGCAATTCTTCGGTAGAAACTCATACTCAGTCCTGTGGACAGCTACAGGAGAAGAAGGAACCATTAGGGGCTCTGCCGCAAGTCAAGGTGGAAACCGCGATGCCTGAAGCGCCAGTTGAGGTGCAAGTAAAACCCACTTCTGTGGATTTGATAGCAGCAAAAAAGCCCGATCAGCCCATGAAATTATCGAAAGTAAGACGCTTCACATCGAAGCCTGGAGAACCACTAAATGCTAAAAAGGTACACATTACTGCAGAGGATTCCGAAGTGTTTATGACCCAAAGTTCGCCAACTTATTCAGCTAAATCTCCCGAAAAAGAGCCATTGGAAGTGGCACAACCAGAAGAGTCAATGCAGGAAAAACCCGCAATTAAGAAAGCGAAAGCGGATCAGCCCACAATCGAACATTCGCAAAAACCTGCCAAAGAAGTTGCCTCAAATAAAGCAACGAGGCCCAACCTGTTACCAAAGAAAAGCTCTGATGAATACACGAAGAAAAAGGTGGTTTTAAGAAAAGAAGCATCTGAGCAATGCATTGCGATTGCCTCGTCGCGACCAAGCAGGAAAACTAAAGAAGCCGCAGCTATTTACATGGAAATTTTAAGCCACAAGCTCGTCAACGAAAGTATAATAGACGACGACATTTCCAGCGACAGTTTTCCCGAGTTGCCGAATGTTAAGAAAACTGAGCGACGGGAGAACGAGTTGAAAGCCCAAGCCAAAACCAGCAAAGAGGAAGAGAAAACTGCGAAAAAGCCCAGCAAACCTGAAGCAGTAGCTGTCGCTAAACCCACAACGTCTACTGACAAAACTTTCAAAGCCAAACCCGACAAAATGGAAACTGTGAAAAGTGAAGCTGCGGTTTTACCCTCTAAACCAACTGGGGCCAAAAAAAGGGCGACTCCTCTTACGATCGCATCGGATGACGATTCAGATAACGAGGTTTTGCTGGCCAAAGTCCGCAAGTGCGTAGTTCAGAGAACCGGAAAAACTGAAGATATTTCGAAGAATTGGCTGATAAGCGAGGAAAAGTCTTCGACTGAGCAAGAGACTGCGGCTAAACGGCCGATCAGGCGCTGCCTGCAAAACCTCAAGGAATCTGATACTGATTCATCGGACGAATCGTTTCACATTGACATCAGGGTGCCGCGGAAGAAGAAAAACACTCGAAGTCGAAATGTTCGAGCGGCTCCATCTCCAAGTTTTCTACAGCAAAGTGTCGACATCATCTTGCAGGCAGCTCGAGTTTTAGAAGAGAAGCCCTTGGAGGTTTTGCCTTCGACAGAATCAGTGAGCAAATCATGCGAAATTCCTGAAAGTTCTAAGAAGTGTGAACCTGCAAAGGAAGCCAAAGCCTTGATAAGCGATTCAGATGAGTCCACCACTTCGGATATTAATCTGAAAAGCCTGCAGGTGAGGCAAAGGAACAAAAAACTGTCGAAGAAAAACAACTCCAAGTCTTCCGCTAAATCCATCATCAGCTTCAGTGATTCTGATGAAGAGCCTTTGGCGAAGCTCACCACCAAAAGCATTCGATCCACTAATGACACCGAGGATTCAAAGAAGAAAGTGCACAAGCCCAAACCACCGAAAAAGACAATCACTAGATCGGAACTTATCACCGATTCTATCACAGTAATGGAGCCGAAGCCTAGGCGCGAATGTACTAAACGGCCCTCCAACTATCTTCCAATGCTGTCCAGTAGCGACGAAGACGAGTCGTATTTCCACGGTTTTAACACTGCCAAAGAGGACTTGAAGCCAACGGGCTTTGTTCAATCTTTGGCGCCATCGCTGGATCTGCTGAGCAAAGATATAGGCCGGAAAGAGAAGGTGAACATGTCCAATGAGCAAATTGAGCAGTGGCTGAAAGACTCTGCGCTGGCCAGTCGCAGTGTGGCGAAGGAAAACGACGAAATGTTGAAGTTCGGGGAAAAAATACCCACAGAAGTGGCAACCGGCGGCCAGATCGGTGTGCGTGTAAAACCCAGCGTTCCCGATCAGTTGAAATTGACTATTGCGAAACCGGAGCCGATTAGCAGTAAAATAGAGGCGACATTGCTCGGCGACAAGCCCAAAGTGAAGTCGCCACTAATGGACCGTAAGTGGATTTTCAAGAAGAACAAGAAGGAGTCAATGCCGAATAAGCAAGCGTTTTCTCCTGAAAATGAATGCAGTGTTTACGCGTTTGGGGAGGAGAATGAGGACATAGTTAGCACTCCCTTTAGACGGCCTACTAGAAGGCCGTCCAGTACGGCAACCTCACGGTCTGAAGACGAGCTGTCGAAGAACGACGACTCTTTAAAGCATGGTGAGCCGTAAAGCACAACGGAGATAATTTGATTCGAAGATTTTTTATTTTTTCAGGTCAGTTCAGAAAGCCGAATCCATCAGACTCGGAAGATTCCCGGTGTTTTAACATACCCCAAAACCCTACAAAGCTGCCCAAAATTAACAAGTCGGAAAGCATGGTGCCGCCGTCGAATTACCACAGCAAAAGACAGACAAAAACCGGCGCAGAAAGATTTCCTGAGCCGTTTGATGATAGCAAATATAAAGTGCCCAGTTCGCCGAGCGCTAGCAGCGGTAGCAGCGCAAAACTTTCCAAAAAAGGCACCCAAAAGGCCAAAGGCAAAGCCTGGGAATCCATAAATCCTATCTATGTATCTGATTTTCCTAAACCAACCGATCCGGCCAAGCTGGTCGAAGCCCCAGTTTTTCATCCCACTGGTAGGATTTTGTTTCTTTATTTGCCGAATTAGAGAAGCGATTTGATGCCGATTTGATTTTTCCAGAGCAAGAGTTCCAAGATCCTTTGGAGTACATTGAGCGAATTCGACACAAGGCCGAACAGTTTGGGCTTTGCAAAATTATTCCTCCAAGTTCCTTCAAGCCGGAATGTAAAGTTTCGGATGATATGCGATTTACCGCCTACAATCAGTATGTACATAAAATGCTTCATCGGTGGGGCCCCAACTTCAAGGAGTTCATAGCCATTCGGAAGTATTTGGCTACACAAAGTATTTTTTTGAAAACCGCCCCTTTGGTAAGTTATAAGTCTTCCTTTGAATCAGCGCTTTTGCTAAAGGATGTCTTTATGCTTAGTGTAATCACTCTTTGAGGAGAGAAACAAATTTTTGCCGGGTTGGCATTTAAACCGTTCAGAAGGCGTGCGAAAACTTGTTGCGTGTCTGTTTCGTAGTAATGGATTTAAAATGTATGTCGCACAACCTTTTAAAAGCAACCAATTTTCATTTACTTTTGGAGGTGCCCCAAATATATAACGATATTAAATAAACAGTACCTTTTACTGGGCTGGGGATTGGACTCGGGATCAGGATGGGAAGGTTTGATGCAGACCTCAGCGTTTAAAATAGTTCACCGCACACCTAGAAATACACAAATAATGATTAATTATTATGCTGATCCGTGAATTTTCCAGATCGGTGGCATGGAAGTTGATCTGCCGCGGTTATACCAAACCGTCCAAAGCCTTGGCGGTTTGAAAGAGGTGATTGAAAAGAAAAAATGGTCGAAAGTGTCCGATCACATGAAAATCCCGAAATGCGCACAGGACCGCGTGACTAAGTTGGATGATATTTATTGCAAATACCTTTTGCCTTATGATACTTTGTCGCCAGGTAATTTGAGAATCTCCGGTTTTGATTGAAATGTTGATTTTTGTTTGTTAATTAAAGCCGAACGTGAAAAACTGTTCGACGAAGTGGAAACATACTGGGCGGAGAAGGATTCAAAGGCCACACAAGTGATTGCTGATGGAAAAGCGGAGCACAAATCCGAAGATTCGTTCGATCAAGAGGAATATTTTGACTCGGACGACATTGATACGGAAGAATGTACGTTGAAGGGCAAGAACATGGCGCTTAATGCTTTCTACCGGATTGCGCGCAATACAATGTCTATGTACTTTAAAGTGACCGATCCCACAGCGTCCGAAGTAAGTATTTTCGAACGATTCCAGTCCAATGTGGCCACTATCGCGTCCTTCTAGGTGGAGCAGGAATTTTGGCGGTACGTTACGCAGAAACAGAACCACATTTGCGTGCATGCAGCTTCAATAGACTGCGGCCTTTGGGGATATGGCTTTGCTGTGTCGAAAAACAGCCCTTTTGCGAAGCACCCTTGGAATCTGAAAGTCCTTTCTAATAACAACGGATCTGTCCTAAGATCGCTTGGACCGGTCATGGGTAAGCAACTACATAAACTCTCCCGTTTAGCTGTTGAAATTATTTTCCTCGTAGGAGTGACAGTTCCAACTCTTCACGTTGGCATGGTGTTCAGTGCGTGTTGCTGGTATCGCGATCCACACGGATTGCCCTGGATTGAATATTTACATACAGGCGGCAGCAAAGTCTGGTATGGAATTCCTAGTTCGTCATGTGAAGTCTTCCATGCGGCCATGCAGAAGTTGGTTCCAAACTACTGTCGTGCAAAAGAGCTCTGGCTTCCTTCCGATACTGCAATGGTTCCGCCCGGCATGTTGATGGAACACAATGTTTCCTTGTGCAGGTAGGCCGACTTGTTGCAATGGGTTCCGCATTGGCTAATGCAAAATATTGCTATGCAGGACAATTCAAGAACCTGGCCAATTCATAGTAGTGTTTCCCAAAGTGTTCACCTCAAGCATTAGTACTGGCTATGTGGTATCAGAGAGTGTCTATTTTGCGCCGTTACACTGGCTGAAAACTGCTCGCAATTTGTTCAATGACTTAAAAAACAACTGCGAGCCGTCGATGTTCTCTTTGAACAAGCTTATTGTTCAAATAGCCAACGATAGTCGATCGAGTGTGGAAGTGTTAAGGTTAGACAATTATTTATGCAATTATGCACAAAAGTTGATGAATTCTTGTATGGTTGCAGAGTAATCGTCCCATTCATAGAAGAGCTAGTGGCAAATGAGAATGAGAACCGACGAAAAATCAGAGCGTTAGCGCAAATAACGCAGGAACGAATGACATCCACTGAATCCTTGGCTAAAAAGAAACGGATACAAAATGTAGACGGTGATTTAGAATGTGAAGTTTGCCGAACGAATCTCTTCGTGTCCATGGTTAGTTAGTTGAAGCTCAAGCGATTCAATTCACTACAATGTACTGACATTTCAGATTGTTGATACCCAAGAAGACTTAATTTACTGTCTAGAAGACGCTATAAAACTAGTGGAGCACAACAGCGAAATGGGGAAAAGGCTGAAATTGCGTTACTGCATGGACGAGTCGGAATTGACGAATATTTCAGTGAAAATCCACTCAGTGATCGAGGGGAAGCTTCAGAAAAAACTTACAAACAAACAGCCGTTATTGCCTAGTAATCCTTCCAAGTCACTTCTTTCCATATAGGCTGTATGCAAAGGGATTGAAAATCCATGTGCAAAGTTAACGTCTTTATTATTGATCAGCAGATTGCAATAATTAAATTCTGCCGAATAGAATATGCTAGGAAGTAAAATTCTTTGAACTTACTATCCATTGTCTAGCGTCTACCCAGACGCAACAAAACGAATACACAGGCGTCCATGCCAAGCGGCGGTTGATCATTTATCAATAGGAAAATCAGAATATATTATATAAGCCAAGGCTGGGCCGCCGTGTGGATTGTAACTTAAATTTGCGTTTTTCAAATTAAATTGATTTAAGCTTTAGCTGTGATTTCTCTTTGAAAATCGCTTACTGCACAAATCTAAGATAATCTAATTAATATAAAATGAACTCTGTAAGTTTAGACAAAACCCGTTCACTTTGTACATCAAAGAGATTAACGCAAAACATGTTATTGTGCATCTTTAATAGCTTTCATAGATCCTCTAACGGCTTTGTTTGTAACTTCTTTGTGTTTACTCGTATTGTTGCTGAATATGTGTTATTTTTCGCAAAATTAAGGCTTTTTTGTGGATCAAGCGCGCTTCAGTATTCTACATAATTTATTTGATTTTCTTGATTTAAATAAAATTATTCGCAGTACTGACAACAGTTTTTCTTTCAATTAGGAAATGGACGTTTTCTAGCTACAAAAAAATCAGCAAATATTTCCTTTGGTTTATTTATACAAAAGGCAACACCTTAACTTGTATTAAGAAAGTGCTAAGCTTACGGTGTAGTGTGTACTACGGCGTAAGTTGTTTATAGTAAAGTACTTACAAGCAACTGTAAATGTGTGGCATGTAACAAGCCATAAAATAACCGATTTGTTGAAAATGCGTCTAAAACCGGAACAAGAACGCTAATGTTTTGCTGCAAACTACTATGGCAATTACTTGTTCGTTGTAAGAATAATAATACAGAACGGAAGAGTTACCAAGTCTTTTGGTAACCATCCTAAATGTTGTAACAAATAAAAAAAAACAAAAACAATGTACAAATGTAACATTGCCAAAAAATCACATAAATAAATAAGTCGTTTGAGATAATGAACCACAAAAACATACGATATCTAGACGCAAGAATAATAAATGCTAAATTCCAATATTTACAATATTAGTTAAATTAAAACTCCATCAAAGGGGGTGTTTAAGGAATGTGGAACGAAAACGTAAAAGTAAATTAGGAACATTACAAATATTTTTGTTTGTTTATCAACAAATTAACCTTTATATTGCCACTTTTAATTTTTTTTGTTTAAAACCAGACAAAAATCAAATGCTTGTCTGTGGAGGGTTGTGATAAGTTTCCTTCAAATTCAGCTCATTTTCTGATAAATATTGCGATGAAAATTGTGCCCTTTTCCATGGAAAGTATAAAAATCGCAAAAAGGAAACATTTTAAAAACTGTACCGTTTTTCTCGTCCGAGAATGTCAAACAAAACCTGCGTATCACTTTTCTCATCTTCACTGTCATCCAATTTCAAGTCCTCGATGAGAGTAGCGCCCAATTCATGCCCGTCATTGCCCTGCTCGTACACTCGACCTGCAATAATCATGGCCATTTAGAATGGAATTTATCTAAAAACTACAGTCAATTCGTACCTGCTTGTCTGCTTGGAGGCGTTGATTTGATTTTATGGATCACGTGGCCCGAAATACCGCAAAGACAGATAAAAAGCCCCGCTACATTGATGGCCGTCATTATATCTCCATTCATTTCAACGGCTAGAACCAGCATGAAAACTTCCTGAAAAGTCAGCGATTAGTTGGGGACAATGCAGAAACATCCCGGGAAAGCACCTTGAAAATTCCTGCAATCGCCAGCGTTAAACTGGAGGTGTAACTAACCAGAGTCACCTCGATAAACTCCATGAAAAATGCTATAAACGCGCCAACTAATACTTTCAAAGACAACATCAGGAAAGGATGCAGCTCCATAAATCCAAACACTTGGCAGCTTCGGATCACGTTGAATCCTTGCAACAATAAAAACATTCATTATACATTAAACTTCACTGAATGTCGAAGTTTATTTAAACATCCATTGGACTCAAATGTATTTGCTGTGCCGAGCTCTTCGGGCACGACACGGGTCTGTCTTAGTAGCGATAAAAGGAAAGCATTATTTGTGAATGCTTTTTGGCAAAACCTTGAATAATTTGATTATAAGCAGCACAAGCTCGTCAAATTTTATGTACCAAAACTTTCAGTACCTTCCATGCAAAGCGCAATTGGCAATACGGCCGCTATCATCCAGGGCTGCATGTAGTAGATCATATCAACGGGATTTTTCATTCCCAGTTTGGATTTCTGCAGCAACAGTTGCATGCAAGTCCATCTCAAGCCGCTTGAAATCGACGCAATTAACAGCAGGATAAATCCGAAGAAATTGAATTGGGTCGACTTGTACGTGAAGAGTATCAAACCTGCTGTTATCATCAGAACAATGATTACCAGGCTCCACGACTGCAAAAAAAAAACAGTGTGTTTGTACCACAAAGCTCCTAATTGTAGTGAATAAAACTCACCTTCTTTTCCAATTTGAACAATATTGAGAAGAACAGGATGAATACGATTGTTGTGGATTTGGTCATGGTATACCTGAAACAGAATAATCAGTTAATAATTGCGTAATTTAATACTTAAACACACTTACAAAGACACTGTAATCAGCTCCAACCCCCAATTGGAAAAGCCGATATCAATGCCGCTGAATACCCCAGTTGGAGCTACAGCTAGCACATAATCTTTCCAGCTAACCGTCGTTTGCACCTTGATATGCTTCTTATTTAAAAACAGTCTAACTAAGGCTGCAAGCAGGAACTTCACTATCATGTGAACTAACACAGTCAATAGTGGATATGGGAACCTCTAAAAAACAGCGATTTTAGCTGTGTTCCATCAAAAAAACAGAAAATTTACCTGTGATAGCCATCGTTGGTAGAAGGTGAGCCCAACCGATGGAATATAGTAGGTGCCAATAAGGGCCCCGGTAAACAGAGCGGATCCAAGGCAGGACGGCGTGCAAAACTTGCGCTTCATCGGTTCGAAATCAACAGTTTCCGGGATATTGGCGGTGTCTTCGGTTTTTTGAATAGCCGTGTATTTCACGTTACTTCTATTTCCAAACATATTGCTGAGATCTGGATGCTGGATAACACCATGGCAATTTGATCCAACAACACGTACGGCCACTGAAAACCGACAATTTTCTGCTGAACAATAGTGTACTTGATTATTGTCGGTTTTCCATTATTAACGATACGGAAAATTCTGCATTCAAACTCGCATCGACGTGTTCAATTATATTGGGGAAATAAATAAACATTGAGACGTCAAACGTTGATTTATAATCAACAACAGCTGGTTTGAAGGAGTGTCTACATGAGCGCTACGGCTAATCGTGGTAGTTTCAAATAAGGCAAGGATGGGGCTTTACAAGTAAAGAATTAGGGACAAGGATAGAGCTTGTCGCAGTGATGAGTATCGTTAACTACGTTTCATAGATGTTTGCGCCTTTTTTGAACCACGCTTCTTTCTCTCTCATAGCAAAGATGTTTAATTATATTGCACTTTAAATTGGGCTAAATTGTATTTTTTTACTTTAAAGGAACAAAGTTTTCAAAAATGACAGTTTCAGCATTAACACTTTGCTAAAAAAGTTAAATTTCTCAATAACTTATAAAAAAAATCAATTTCCGATCGTTCTTCAACCGTAGTGGTCAATGCGCACATTTAGTACGAGCACGACATGTTCCATGTACTTCCAGTCGTTTGAATTTGAAATGACCAGAAAAAATCGTAGTGATTCATTTCGATTGGGTTGATTTTATTGGATTTGCTTGGGTTCGTTTAGGTTGAATTAGTGGGGTTTTTTCTTAGTTTTTCGGAGTGTAATATTACTAGTGCTTGGGTTTAATTGGATTTTCTGCGTTTGCTTTTGTTGGCGTTTTCTTCCATCTGTTGGTATTTGAGTGGATTAATTTGCGTTTGATTTAATCAATTTGAGCAATCAAATGCGATCTGATTTTGGATCTTGGGGCTGCTATTTATTTCGTTTCGATCGATAACTACAGTAGACTCTCACTCTCAGAAATTTAAGTCAAATTCGGCGTAGTTTCTACTAGAACGTTGTCTCGAAACTCGAAAGTTCTCACTACTAAATCGTCACTTGGCACCTGATCCTGTGCCATTTCATATTGACCAGAAATAAAGAAGCTGCCATCTTCCAATTGTATTGCTTCCGAAACGTCCGAAAGTTCCAACTGATAATCGCTGAATATCTGGTCACTTTGCCCAATTTCTAATTGGTTGCTATTCAGTTCTGCTTCATTGTCTTCATTTAAACTAAAATTCAGTTCCATCTTGTGCTTCGATTTCATATGAAATCTAAAAAATGTTGCGTATGAACCGTGGCAGGATTTCAACCTAAAGCAATTACCGTAAAACGTCGATAGATACAAAAGATTTCGGACAAACAGTGCAAAAAAAATCGCCTGGATGCGTCATTAGATGGACTTTCAAATTATGCGCCTGTATGAATCCCATGTTGCAGTGAACGCACTTAAACGGCCTATTTCCCGTATGCAATAACTCATGCTTTTTCGTTTCGCATGTCGATCGGAACTTTCTATCGCAGAATTGGCAGCCGTATGGTCGCATACCCGTGTGGGTTAATTCGTGTCGTTTTACCGAAGTTCTACTGTAAAACCTGCCAGAAAACGTTCAATGATTGTTGCCCTGATGGCATTGATTCGTTACCTTTTCGGGCAATAACTGCACTGAATGTTCCTTTCGTTCGTATGGGTTTTCATGTGATAGAACAGGCCAGTTTGGTAGTGGAACGATTTTCCGCAAATCGGGCACACTACCACCGTTTTGTGTCTGTTGTGGCTTTGGCTGTGAACTCGAAGTTGCGTTTTTGTGTGAAATTGTTTGCCGCATATATCACACACATGCTGCCGTTCTGAAACCCGCTGTATATTCAGTCAATTAACTATCAAGTAACCTTCCAGTTTACCTTCATGTCTCTTCATGTGGGAAAATAAAGATCCTGCGTTTTGGAAAAGCTTTCCGCAAAGCGTACAGTGTTTTTCCCGAGCGGTATTTTGCAGCCTTTTTCCTTTAGAAAAATGAACATCGTTGAAGTGTTTCAATAGATATCTCCTCGATCTGCAGTAAGAAGTTACCATTTAACGGTCATTTTCCAGTGAAATATGGTGAATATCAATTAGCAAAATCTTGTCCAAATCGGCAATTAACTTACTTGAACTTTGCCTTGCAAACATAACAGGTCACATTGGCTGTATTCTTATAACACATTCGACTGTGCATTTTGGCTCTAGCCATCGACGCCAGCGGCTTGGAACAGTAAGGGCATTTGTAATTCAACTTCAAAGCGGAGTTGACTAGCTCCCTATCCGTCTCATTTAACTCCAATAAATTTGCAAACACCTCAGCATTCGCCGGTTTGTCCGTGTATTTCTGATCACCGCTTTGAACAGAGTTATTGGCTTGTACAGCAGTGACAGTGTTGGATTCTAAATCTAGAACAACTTCAGAGTCCACGCTTGTTGGAGGCGGCTCTAGATCTAGAGCTGTTGATTAGTGTTAAAGTTTCCAGTTTTCTAAAAAGCCTTACCTAGCGATTCGTTCTCAATAATTGGATAATCAGCCTGCGGTGTTTCGGGGTTCTTCCTAACGAAAGAAGCCGTTACAGTTTTGCCTAAATTTTGCAAGAAACCTTCAAATGATCGATCCTCATCATCGGTTTCCTCATCAACAATCAGCAAGTCGTTTAGCTTCAATTTTTTAGAACCCATGAATATCTCAACAGGCGCTTTGGGGGGTTTCTCGACCTCATCATCTGCAATCATTTTGAATGACAGTCTAGTTAAGCATTAACACCAAAGACAATGTTCACCTTCAGATCGGCTTTCACCCTCGCAATAATTTTCACCGAGTTTTCTAAGTTCTGCCTTGAGCTTCTGCTTCGACACATGATATTGTACCACTAAGTCATAGGTGATTTTCAAAAGTTCCAAACATACGCCACACACTGATTCAGGGTATTTTACTCCAAGGGGTATTTTCTCGCCTGTCACTATCTCTAGGGCTTCGTGCACTGATAGAACAGGCTCCTGCTTTCTTTTCAATGGGGCCTTCAATGGAGTTCGCTTGGACCTTGTCTGGGTGAAGCAAATGCGGCAGTTGGTCTGGAGATTGAATGCGTTGTATCTTTTCATTGCACCAATTGATACTTAATTCAAAAGTTGGAGTTTGGCCAATATTTGATTATGTACATTGCAATGTTTTGCTTGAGAATTTGTATACACATTGTATACAGAAATGAGAGGTTAAGTCTAAACGATCTATAGACATATATATACAACTCTTCAGGGAGTTGCAGGAGAAAATTTGAGAATTGAAATTTTCCTAGTTTAGCAGAATATTTCCTAGTTTAGAATATTAGCAGTTACTATACTTGTGAGTATTTTGGGCACATTTCAATGCAGTTAAAGTTTAAAAAATCGCACTTACCCTCAAGCTGCCTCTTTGTGTGCCTCCTGAAACCCTCCAATTTAGGTTTTAGTGTAAAAAATATCCATGACGGATTGGACCACCGCTCGTGGTTGCCTGACAGCAAACGTCAGAGAATTCCCGATTTTAAATTCGCGTTTTCGTGGCAAAAATAACACTCCCGAGCGCGAAAATGGCATAAAATGGTGGATGAAAACCAAATATTTCAGAAAATGTCAAATTTTCCTCAGGAAAATTGAAAAATCTAGCAATTTTTTGAATTTTTAACGGAGCGATTCGCACAGTGACATTCCCATCCACCATTAGCACCAAACTAGTTTGACAAGAGACAAGTACTTGACATTCTTTTCTACGAGGGTAACTTGAAATGACAGAAAATTTGCTATATCAAGCTTAACTAAGTTTGAAACATCTATTCCTCCTCAAAATATTGAGGTCGCTCGAAATTCCCAGACTTCAGAATCAGCGCCACCGCCGATAGCTAACTACTGCAATTTCAAAACTAAGTTTTGAGGTTAGATAAAGGCGGATGGGCAAATCAAAACATTGGGCTAATTGTCACAGAATGTACTCGTTAGCTGACAAAAACATTCCTTTTAATATCAGCAAACAGCAGCAAGAGATGCAGCAGCAACAACAAGTGCAACAGCAACAGATGCAGCAGGCGCAACAGATGCAGCAAAGCCAGCAGCAGCCGCCACAACCTTTGGACAATATATCAAAGATCAAGTCCCTTGTGGGGCCCCTCAGAGAGACACTGGCGGTAAGTTGCGAAAGTGCGAGACAGAAAGACTGTTGAAATTGCTGATAACCGTCTCTTTTTTAGCTAACGATTAAAACGGCAGCTCAGACCTTGAATCAGAACAACCAGATTGATTCCGGGTCTCAGTAAGTAACAGCTTAATGCTGATGTATTCTGTAAAAAGTAAGTTTGACGGGTTTATTGCAGGAAAACGCCCGACATCCAAATACCCAGATTCGACAAGAATCTGGAAGAATTCTATTCTATTTGCGACCAAATTGAGCTTCATTTGGTGAGTACTGAACACATAGCCTTTTCTGCTGTTGTAACCGATAAACCGACTGTTTTTCCTTACAGAAAACCTCAATTAAATGCCTTTCCCAAGCTGAGAGCAGTAACCGCTATTTAAATCTCCCAGTAATGCCGAACAGGAGCGAAACTATTGGAATGAATGAAAACAGCTTAACGTATCCTCAGTTTCTAGCCACTGTGGGCGCCCAAGTTTCCTACACCAAGGAGATTCATGAGACCCTGCTGGCTGCCGCCCAAAATATCTCACCTTCAGAATGACCTTATTTTTATTAATTAATTGAAGTGTGTTAATAAGCAAGGTAACTTGAAATATTCCTACCTAAGAACCTCAATTGAGCTTATTTAATACAGCTCTACAGTCGAACAGTTTAGAATGTAATACGAATTTGTGGAATTTATTTATAGTTTGCTTATCTACTATTCCTTTCATATATCTAATTACACACATCGACTAAAAAGAGTTAGATATACGTCCGAGCTGTTGTGATGGATTCAACGTTCATGCGCCCGAAAAAGTTTGGGGCAACTGCCGGCAACCGAGCAAAGTGACAATCATCGTCACAAGATAACCTAATTTTTCTAGCCATGTTTTCATCAGTCTTTATGCATGTTTTAAAAATCCGCATCTAGCTTTAACATGTCGTCCCCTGTGAGTTTCGAAATTATAGTCGGAACCTACGAAGAATATATTCTAGGCTACATTTTCACATCAAACGTAAGTATTTTAGCGAGTCGCCTACGCATTTTTCCAATTTCAATGTTCTTACAGAAACAGACTATTCAGCAAAGTTTCGCTTCTCATGACCACAATGCCAGCATACGATGTCTGGCGACAAATGGCAATTATTTAGCTTCAGGGGCATCAGACGATCGCATAATAATATACGATTTGAAAGCCAGAAAGGAGCACTGCATGCTCACACAGCATGAAAGCACTATCACTGCTGTGCAGTTTACAAACAAGCATTCCCATGTGATGTCGGCTAGTCAAGATGGGGCGCTTGCCATTGTCAGAGTGGGCAATTGGCAGCTGGAAAAGCTGTGGGACAAGGCCCACAAGGAAGGTATGGTTGTGGATATTGCCTTGCATCCTAGTGGGAAGCTGGCTTTAACTCTCGGAAGCGATGGTTGCATACAGACTTGGGACCTGGTGAAGGGCAGAAAAGCCTACATAATTAACCTGAAAACAAAGTGCGAAGACCCTAAGAGCTTGGAGAAAATTAGTTTTTCCCCCGATGGTACGAAGTTCGTACTATTTGGAGGCAACTACATAGGAATATGGAGCCTTGAGGTGGGAGGCGCCGTGCAAGTCATAACCCGCGAAAACAAAGTCACATGCTGCATTTGGCAGGGTAATTGCCATGTTTTGGTGGGCCATGAAGATGGAAGCATGGCCTCCATAAGCATACTTACCAAAGAAGCAGAAAAGGAAATCAATCGAGCGCACAATGGTAAGCAATTAGTTCACTCTCATTTCAACCAATAAATAAAAACATTTCAGGACGAATAAAGGCTGCAGATTGCTCAGAGGGCTACATAGTAACGGCATCCAGCACAGGTGAACTGAAAGTTTGGGACAGTGAGTTTACAGAGCTTTGCAAAATTAACTCAGGCTGCAGAGTCACCTGTATGAAAATAACCAAATGGCTGGGCTTTACCATAAAAGAAGAGCCCCAAAATGATGCAGAAACAAAAGTGTTCCATGCAGCTAAACCAGTTGAGAGCAAAGTGATTGTGGAATACGAACAAAGCTCTGAAGATGAACATGCTGAGCCGAAGAAGAAAGCACGGGATCAACTGAAAAACCCTGCCATTAGTGGCAAAGCGATAAAAAAATCAAAGAAAAACCATGTTAAGCGACTAAAGGACAAGAAGGTTGGGGAACGCGATGCCGTTACGGAGAAGAAAAGCAAAAGGAAGGGATCAAGTGGTGTAAGCTCAACGGCCAGTAAAATGAGCAAGAAGATGAAGAAAAAGAAAAAAAAAGATGTAGCTGATTAAGGCCATGTTAAATTTGAGCGTAATAAAATCGTTTTTATAAACACGAATGTCCACAAGTTATTTTTTACATTGTGTCACCCAATAGCTCAATAAAGGCAGATCGTGCTTCTGAACACCCAAACTTCTCAAAAGCTCCACATTGTTACTATCAGGAGCCCATCCGACTGCACAAGCTATATTATGCCATTGCATCACGAGGCTTGTTAGGTGGGGCCCCAGGGCTGCGTCGGGCAGATTGGGGTCCTTCAAAGCAGCCTCTATTGACGCCGAAAGTGTAGGTAATCTTCGAGGCAAAGTCCGATTCCAGTTGATTGCTAATGTGCTGCGAATAAATGAAAATTAGGCCCTTTAAAAAACGCTAAAATTGCTTAAAGCCCTTACCCATCAATTGCGTACAATTCGCATACTTCCCCTGTTTTTGGAAGACTAAAATCCCGTGGCAACAACTGCTGTAACTGCGCCAGAATACTCTGATTCTGCGAATTCACTCGAATGCCTGTTAGGTAGCAGTAGCAGAGTTTTTGGAAAACTTCCTGCAAACAATGCGAAGCCCTAAATTTGCCTAATGGGGCAATGCGGTGTCTTACCTGTTTCATAGATTGATAAAGTTGCCTTAAGCCCAACGCCGGGCAATCAGCAGGAATTTCTGGCGGTTTAAAAGGCTTTTCCACAACAGTTTCTGAACTAAGTAACCAGGCAAACCATAAGTGAATTTGCGCAAAAATTTCCGGTTGGCCTAAAGCAATGCGTGTTGTTGCTATTCTTCAGCCCTCTTCCCTTACAGGGGCGGATCCAGCTTTAAAGTCAGGGGGGGGGGGGGTTAAGTAGAAAAAATACCGTCTTCTGTTGTCTATGAAATTAGAAAAATAATCGTCGTTTTGTTCAAGGGTGGCGCAAGATTATTGCAAAATTTCATGTTTTCCGTCCCGTTTTGCATGTTTCTCGGAAGCAAAATGAGCAAGAACGCTCGTTTTTACA